GCCCCTCTGGAGAGGTCAGCGAACAAGTTTCCGGAATGGTGGAGTTTCGAATCGAAACTTTCTCGCCGACGTAGGGTGAATCGTAATTTTTCGAAAAATTTCGCTGAACGAAGAAATCTCGCTAGGAGGATGGACATTAGAGATTAAGAGGAATCGTTCCAGCCAAGATTTTTTAATCGATCGATATATCGTGTTATTAGTTATAGAAAGAATTCTCTGAGGGTTTTCGAGGGAAAAGGTCTCGCGAAAAATTTCGAAAGAAGAGGAAAGAGAACCTCGTTTTAATTGAAATTCGATACAATATTATCTCCCTTTAACGAATCAAATTAGAAAATTGAGGAGGTTTAAAAATTAAATAGCCCAAAATTTCATACGAAGAGAGATTCTATTTCAAAATTTTACCATACTTTCAGAAAATCTTAAATTTTTTTAATTTTAATAAATTTCGGCCAGAAACTTGATTCGCGTTTAATAATAGAGCGACGCGAAATTATCGTCCAAGATATTTTTATTCGCGGAGAAGAAACGTTGGCGGAGATGGAGCGAGAAGGGGATAAACGGGAACGATTGTACTTCCGGTATCCCGTTAAGAGGCCGCTCGACAATACACGTTCCGCGAGCGAAGGCAAGCCCTGTAATCCCCCGATCCTGTCTACTCGGATCATCCTTTCGCCGTGCCAGCGATAACGCAGCGCGTGTTCCACGCCGGGACACGCTTTATCGTGTACTTCCGCCTCCGCTTCCTTCGCCTCGAAATCGATCGACTTCCACGGAGACGAAATGCATAAAGTTCGGCCGAGGATGTTAGTCCCCTCATGAATTTTACATCACGTACATCACAATATAGGTATGCAGAATTTAGAAGTGTGAAACGAACGTTTGTTAATTAAATAGGAAAAGGTACAGGTGTATTTGCAATTGCGTCGAATTTTCAAAAGATCCGTTTATCGACGAGTAATTTTAAATGATTTTTAATTTATAAAAATCATTTATCTTTTCGATTACTGTAAAATTAGAAAAAAATGTTTCGAATTTTCATGTAAAAAAAATAAATAGGGAAAGAAATTATTTTTGACAACTCAAAACTCGGTTGGAAATATAAAAAGGAAACTATGAAAAGCTATTGAAAATCCTTTTTGTTTTATCCCGATATCTCAATTGGCTGCCGAGATATGAAGACTGGAAGTTTCCATATCGCTTAAGAGATTATATTATATTATATCCTATATTTTTTTCTGGAAACGCGTATTACGTTCTTCCAGGAATCTCGTCTGTCATTTATCTGGAGTTTGGAGAAGCGAGAAGCATTCGAGGCCGACAAAGACGAGGATAATGACCGATTAAAAATTACCCTTTTCTTCACACGATGATATCTTGAGAACCAGAAGTCGTATCGGGATAAATCGAAAAGTGTTTTGAAAGGAAACGTTGCGTGGTTTCAATGGTTTCTCATTGATCGATCGAAAGTCGCCACCTTCGAAGTTGTAACGATTCAAAGTTTTCGTAATTTTAATAGAGTTTACGATACGATTCAAAGTTACCTTTTCTTTACGGGACGATATTTCAGGAACCGGAAGTGGAATCGGGATAAATGAAAAAAGTATTTCAAAGGCGAAGATTTCGCGCTTTTAGTGAACTTTGATTTGCTGACCGAAGGTTATTATCTTCGGAGTTATTAGCAATTTAAATTGCTAATTTTAATAAAAACTAATGGAAACCCGTAACCTAACGTAAATTATGGGATATGATTATTTTATTCCTGGAAATATTTGAGTTAAATATTGAGTTAAATATCGAATCTTCTTATTTTTGATATTTTCAGGAAATATATGTATTTCAAATACGATTCTAAAATTTCTGAACGAAACCGGAAACTCTGAAACTTATAGCCGGAGTTATTTAATAATAAACTTGGAGAAACGTAACGAGAAACTTGCGAAACGTTGCTTTGTGCGCATTAAAAACGTCTAAACTCGATTATCAAAACGACCGAGACACGAGACGGATTTAAATTTTCCACGGTTGAACGTCGAGTCAATGAGAAACTTCTATATAACCACTCCATAGTATAAATTCCCAGAGTTTATCGTCAATTGCGCGAAACGAGCCGAAGGATTTTTAGGATTCGGTTAATAGCCGACCTCTGCCGCGAAAAGTGCGCGACAACGAGCGCGGGCAAAGTTATTCGATTACAAACCGGTCATCGACCAGTTTAAACACTTTCTCCCGCATTAACGCGCCCCGACAACTTAATACGCAGCCAATCAATGTCATTACGCGTGAAATCACTTTGCACCTTGTTCATCGAATTATCGCCTTATTAACCTCCCGCCCTCTCCCCTCTCCCCTCAAAATATATAATCGATCGGGATAAATTTCCACACATGACCTATGTATACATATACATATATATTCCATCTCTCAACTTGGATCAGCATCAGAGGATAGGAGCAAAACGGATAATCAAAGTATCGATCCATAATCGGGATAATTTCCCACCATTTTAATCCCATACTTTCCTCCCATATTTTCGGTTGGGTGTGAAATATCGGATCGCTTAATAGTTCCGGCCCACTCTATTAAACCTCGAAACGAGTGCGGCAATAAAGCGTTGTTCGATTCATTTCTATCGGCAAATTTAATTATGGCCGTGGAGCTTTATCGATTCCCGATTTCTACCACGCGACGCGCAACAACCCCCCCCCGTTGTTTCGCTCAGACGGCCGCGCGAAGAAATTGGCGCGGTAAATCGTGGCGAAAAAAATACTTGGCCGATACTTGGAGGATCGAAAGGTTTATTCGTGCACGAGACGATGGAAACCGATAATTCCATACTCTGGCTTTTTTTTAATAATTCTCCACTCGATACGTACCCGATTTACCATCCCCTTTTATTTCCTTCTATTTTATTTCGAGGGGAGGATAAACGTATCTAGATACTCGTACGGGTCGGATCGTTCGCTTGTTTGTCGATAACAGCCTCCGATACGCTGTTTTCATTCACGGCGGTGTAACAACCGTTCTACGTGCTACACACGCGACAAACTATTACTCAATTATTACTCTGCTATTGACACGGCTGCAATTTATTGTGCTGCAGCTGGATACATTTCGGTGGCAATGGCTCGGTGCCACGCTCTGTCATACCGAAATTCCCTTGTCAATTTTCGCGCATATACTCAATTTATAGCGTTAACTTTCCTCGACATAAAAAAAAAAAAAAAAAAAATACGTCTCCAATTATTTTGACGATATTTAGAATTTCACGAGTTTTACCTTTTTCTATCAATTTAATTTTGACGAATGAAATTCGTATAAATGCGATATTTTGCGACGTGAAATTTTTATCATCTCTATACTTCCTACGTCCCTTTCATTTTCTCTCGATTATATAAAAAAAAAAAAAGATCCATCAATATCATGGCTCGCGCCAAACCACTTAGCTTCCGTTCCAAAAAATATTTTCCAATATTACCAACGATCGCCGAATGAAAAGAATTCTCCACCCGAATTTCCATCTTTATGATACGCGCAATAATCCAATAACATCCGATCCAACGTTTTCGATCTTTTCTCGCATTTATATCGTTTCCTCGAGCCCGAATAATCTCTTTCCTCTCTCTCTCCCGCCCTTCTGCTTTGAAAAATTATTACAACCGAGATTTTCCATATTTTCGATTCGATGTGGCGGAAATTTCCCGAGATCCCTCCTTTCCTCTTTCCTTTAAAAAATTATATATAACCAAGATTCTGGATATCGATCTCGATAATATCGCGGAAATTTCCCGCTGCGTTTTCGATAATACAAGGCTCTTACCTAAGCGCATCCGAGGATCCAGGTCTCAGGGACTTAACGATCACCAGGTCGCTGGTCGTGTTCCGGAAAACTTCGTCGTAGCCTGGAAACCTGTCCACCTCGCAAATGTGAACGTCGCCGAAGTATCCGCAACCGAGGTTTTCAACGATGTTCAGCTTCTCCCGGGGGAAGTCTAAGATGCACTCGGCCACCTCGTCCTCCTCCTCGGTGAGCATGTCCTCGGGACTGTAGCTTGTCATGCTGCTCGAGGCTTTCGCGCTCATCGGGGGCGGTGTGCTCGGTGTTGGGGATGGTGGCAACGGTGGCAGGGAATTCTGCGATAAAAATCGAGACAGCGGTAATAGTCGATAAAAATCGACTCGAAGACGAGGGACAAGAATTGCAACAGTTATTGCAAGAGTTTCGAGAAAACATCACATTTCACCTAATTCCTCCTTCTTTAAATTTAAATTAAAAAGGTGGTTTGTGAATACAGAGATTCGAATTCGAATACCTATCCCATCTCGGTTACTTGGAGGGAGAAATTTTACTATCGTGGATGAACAAGTACGTAACAAGCGTGGAGAGCGACGTGGCATTTAAGAAAAATGACTCTCGAGACTTCTATTTCATTTTCAAAGGAATTGGCTCGAACAGTTCGCTAGAGAGGAAAAAAAAAAAAAAGAAAAAAATTAACGTCGTGATTAATTTTCTATACTCCGGTTCCGATTTCTTTTCGCCTTTATTTCTTTTTATTTTCTTTTTTTTTTTTTTTTTTTGCCCCCGCCTCGTCCTCTTTCCTTTTCTTCTTCCTTTTAATTAGAGCGTTTAAAGTTCGCCGTACACCGCGTGTTCAACAGCGCGTGTTAAAATGCATCGCGCTGAGAATAATGAAGCTTAATGGACGAAAAACAGGGGAACCGGAGAGGACTATCAATCATGACTAATGCGAGACCTTTGCACGGGGAGACGTCTTACGAAAGCGTACAATGATCACCGCCCGATAAATGTATAAAGTCCGTGATTATTGATCGCGTATTTTATTTTTTTCACTGTTGTTCGCTGTTTCAAACTGTTACCGTTTTGTCCTGAATTAACCTCGCCTTTTTTTGTGTGTAAAAATCGCGAACACGGTGCTAAATTTAAATTAACATTTATAATTGAGAGGTTCCGCCCGAAGAAGGGAGTGCAAGTGCATTTTTTTTTTTTTTGCACTCAAGCATGAAATTAAATACAGAAGATACAACGAAAGATACACGAAACTCCGCATCCGTCTAACAATTTTTGTTATGTATCTTCAAATTTTCAGGAAATTCCTAAGTTAACGCATTTTTAATATCTCAGTTTAATTTCTACCTGTAATTCTAATTCTCTCCAATTATATAATCTAATAAAAATTTCATACAAAATGTATTTCTAAAACGGGCAAAACAAGAAAATTTCATCCTAAAAATATAATTACATCATAGAAACGAGTTAAAGAAATTTTTCAATTTTATGTGAACGAGACTAAAAATTTCGATTTCAATAGAGATCTTTATCAATTTAAAAATACATAGATCACGTGTTATCACAAAAAACAATCGATTATAACTCGATAATAGAATCTCTAACCCTGATAACCCTCCTCTACTTTTAGAGAAAGCAAGTAATTAAAGATCAATCAAAGTCGATCATTGAATCCTCGCGACTAAACTTCACTAAACATAAACAATCTCAATCACCCCTCGAGTCGTCCAATTTAAACATCGTTTCGCGCAACGATCAAATTTGACTTCAACACGAGGACCGTGCGTCTTCAGAAAACAACGAGGCGTTAAAGGAAACGATTCGAAACGGTTGTCGCTATGGCGACGTAAGATCCACAAGTCACGAACCGGTGTTTGACACAGTTCGCTCAAGTGGCCCGCATTAATGTCCAACAAACTCGCCACGACCAATCGTCATGGATCGCATGACCGGCCTATATTTTTTTTTTTTTCTTCTTTGATACTCACCTTACAGATCTCCGTGCTGGCGTAATACTTTTCCGGTGGCGGCGGTATGGGCGGCGGGTTAGATGGATATTCTTGAACCGATGGAATCGGCCTGGCAAGATTGATCGCCGTGTTCAGCAACAGCGGAATAACCGGCTGCACCTCCGTGATCCCTGTGATACAGTGGAGGGGAGGAAAAAAGAATTTTGACAAGGTTAGAGACACGATGGGGCACGCGAAAGATATATATTATTACACTACTTCCTCGAAACTTTGAGCATTTAGTTTTTTTCTTTGAGAGTAAAAAGTGACATTGCTTTTTGTCTTATTATTTTTATAAATTTTTTTATTACGATTAATCACAATTATCGATTATTCAAAAGTTGATTAGATCAATCCTTGGGAATTAATATATTTCTCGAATACTCGATGAATCTGCTGATAAAGAAAAAGTGATTCTTTAAAAAATTTATTTCTTAGTTTATCTACGTTTTACAAGTAAGTATCAAGAGAATCATTTTGAAAAGATGAGGAACGTTGAAAAGGAATATTAAATATCCTTGGAAATATTAAATTTTTTTAAAGGAATATCATTGAAGTGAAATAAAGTTCTAGAACGATAAATAAGACTTTCGAATCTCCCTGCACATTCGTAATTCAAACGATATACGTGAATCTCGCGATTAAATTGCGAAATTAGCCAAGCGTTTCATTATGCGCAATCGGTTATACGCAGGGTTAATTAATCGCCAGCTTTGTTCCAAGTGCACGGTCAGGATTAATCGGAAGGAGATTTATTTTTTAATCTCTCTCTCTCGTTCGAGATACGAACGAAATTTCATACCATCCGTTCCACACCATCGATCTGGGCGTAGAAACGAAACAACTCGGTCAACTATTCGAGCGATTCCTGGGCTCGATTCGAACCATACTTTTCAAAACTCCGTTCACGAGTTAACACGAATTCTTTTCCCTTCGCCTTCAATTATGCCCGAGGATAAATTATTATGCGCGAGAATTACGAAATTCGCAGATACTTTGATCTTCCGGGCCGAGAATCAAAGCGGAATCAAAAAGCGTTTCGAAGCGAGCAAACGTCGAGACGGATTGAAATACGGCGAGGAGAGGGGGTCAGGGTAAATCGACGCGCCATTTTACGATTCGCGCCCCTCCGAACGTTCAAGCGTCGACTTTAAGTACCACGAACTCTATAATATCACGTCGATCATTAGAACCGCAATTTAATTCGAACGGTGCACGCTCGCATATCACGGTAGGTGTTGCGCGTTTATCGGCCATACGGCCCACCGCCCCTCCGATTTTATGTAATTTTAGTCAAAGGCAAACTCGATAATGCACCGCAACGCGGGGCCACTCGTTTCCAGTTTTCCCGCTATTGAATTACGCGCCGCGTTAACACGCATCGAGGGTAGGGAAACGTTGCTAAAGTTATGAGTATACACTTCACGAAATAATTCCGTTGAAGTTTTTCTTTTTATCGAGAGCGAAACATATCGTGTCGATTCAAAATATTTCAGGATCGATTTCATCCCATTTTTCGATAGAAAAAACAAACACGTGTGCATATCCCTTTGCGCTCGAGACGACTTTTTTTCTTAGTATAAAACTTTTATATTTTTGATATTCTTAATATGTATCTTTACATATATAAAGAAAGAAAATTTGTTACGAATGTTAAACTTTATATCGTTGTTTTGTGCGATATTTTTAAAAAGCGATATCGTTTTCGATTTTTTTATTTCGAAATCTTTCTGTTAACATTCATCGTCTATTATTCTTATTTTTCTCTTACTTCATCATTGCTTTCCTTCTCTATCGTCAATTTCTTTATGAATAGAAATAAATTTCGTCGTTCTAATTTCATTATCACGTTCCATGCTTACGAATGCCAAAGATGCGTCATTTTCCCAATTTCACAAAAGAAAATCTACCTATTTGACGCAAAGAGCTTAGGAATCTATCCTAACGAAGCTATATTCTAAAAAGAAAAAAAAAGAAAAAGAAAAAGAAAAACACAAATAAGTATCGTCGCAGTTCGAATCCAAGTGGTGGCCGAGGATCACCATTCGAGTGCAAAGGGATACATATAACCTTTCATATTTCATTCAAAGTGAAAATTTTCGAATTAATGAATTGAATCGAAAAATTCGCAACGTAATGCAAACGATACGTTCCAAAGCACAGGGGGGACAAAATTAATCTAACCGATCTCGCGCACCTGTACATTCCCTCCCCCCTCCCTC